TGCGCAGCTAGATTGCGAGCACACAGGGGCACACACACACACACACACACACACACACACACACACACACACACACACACACACACACACACACACACACAGGCACACACACAGGCAGACACCGCTCGCACGAATTACAAATCACAACACAGGAGTGACTGCGCAATCGCACCTCCAGGGTCGAAGAGGGGGCTGAAGCGTGTGGTGGGCGAATTGGTGCCGCGCAGGTGCTGCTGTTGATGCTGGTGCAATGGTATCGGCAGCGGGAATGACGGCAGCATGGGTGACTGTTGTTGTTGTTGTTGTTGTTGTTGTTGTTGTTGTTGCTGCTGTTGTTGTTGTTGTTGTTGTTGTTGTTGTTGTTGTTGTTGTTGTTGGTACACGGGCATTGTTGGGCGCGCGGTTGTCAGCACATCAACAACAGCAGCAGCTGTTGTTGCTGGGGCGGTTGATGTGACGGCGTTGACAGAAGACAACTGTGCATATTGTGACACCAGCGGCTGTGTTGGCTGCAGCAGCAGCTGTTGTTGGGGTTGTTGAGGTTGTTGCTGCATATGGATCGAAGCGCAACAACAGAAGGATGACAGCATGAGGATGAGAGAGCGTCAAGTAACGCGGCTCATGCATATCACACACAGAGTCCAGGCCACAAACCAAACCGACAAGCCCACCATGCACAACAGGAGACAGGATACACGATACACGAAATATACACATACACACATATACACACATACACACACATGCTTACAAACAAACACACACACATGCTTACAAACACACACACAAACACACACACACACACAAACACACACACACATACACACACACACACACACAAACGCATACGCACACACCATGCCGCGCTGGAAGTAACGGCGAAACTCTGCGAGAGACGCGCGTGTCTCTGGCGTTGGATCGGGGTGCAACGCTTTGTTCAGCGGTCGCCGGCCCTTGCGCTTCTTCCGTTTCGGCGGCTGCTCGTCGCCTCCACCCACGTCTCCCGCCGATGCCACCCCTGGCGCCGTTGTCGTGACAGTTGCGGTGGTTGTTGGGGCTGACCCGCTTGTTGTTGTTGCTGTTGCTGCTGCTGTTGTCGTTGTTGGGACTGCAGTTGTCGTGGAAACACTGTCACCACCAACCATCACAGCTGCACCAGTGCCATACTCACCTCCTCCTCCTCCTGCTGCTGCTGTTCTCGCAGTTGCTGCTGTTCTCGCAGTTGCCGGTGTTGGAGCAGGCTCATTGCTTCGCTCAGCCGCTGTTCGCTTGGCAGCTGCGCCCTGAATGCCGCCTACCCCGGATACCGAAGACCCCACCACATCATGCTGCTGTTGTTGTTGTCTTGCGTGCTGTTGAAGTGCAGCGAGGCCACGGCCACCTGTTTTCTTCGTTGAAGCCTTTGTTGTCTTCGTCGCACCCGACAGCGCCGTCATCACTGCACTTGTTGTTGCTGCTGCCACCCCATGTGGGGACTGCTCTTTGCTCGCTGACCGCCGGCTGCGCAACATCGCCTTCAACCGCTCGTGGGCAGACTCGCTGCTCCTGCGTACACCACCACCGCCGCCACCACCACCACCACCATGTGTGCCATCACCTGCATGGCTTGCAGCACCACCACCATTACTCGCGTCACTCCCGCCTGTTACTGGTATTGTTGATGATGCCTCGCGTTTGCGGGTACTTGCTGCGCCATGCTCACGTGGTGCTTTCTCCGTTGTTGCTGGTGCCGCTGCTGCGGGTGCTCGCGTGTTTCCGGTTTGAGACGACGATGATGACGATGATGCTGCTGCTGCTGCTGTTGGCGGGTTGGATGGTCTGCGGACGACAGTGCGTTTCGCGAGAGCAAATTGGGCATTCATGTATGCCTGTGGCCGCAGCGAAGGCGTGTTCAGGTGAGGCCATGTGTTGGCGTAGAACAAACAGCGTGCGACGGACAGTGTGTATGCCAGGCAACGTGCCGGAGGACAAATGCAAAGTCAGGGCGATCATGTGAGTGAATATGAGCAGAAGCGGTCATACCGGTGTGCCTGGTGTGTGGTACAGCATCACCTCCTGCACAATCATGTCCTTCAGCTCCGCAGCCGTCGTCGCACGATTCTGCACGTGGTGACACAAGTTGAAATGCACGTGTGCGAGTGTTCGTTTCTCGGGTACAGATGGCAGACAGGCAGGGGTTACAGGCAGCCAACAACAACAACACACACACACACAGATACTCACAATCAAAGTCACAAAATCACACAAGCACACAATCATACATGCATGCACAGCTACTCACAATCACACAAATCACACAAATCACACAATCACACACGCGCGCGCGCACCTCGTATTCAAAGTCAAAGGCGGGCACGGACGGCGGTGCCGATGGGATCTGGCTGTGGTATTTGGCGAAGAACGGGTGGTGCAGGGCATCGGATACGGTGCAGCGCTGGGCGGGGTCAAACTGAAGCATCTTGCTCAGCAGATCAAGCACGGTGTCACTGTCGACGGCAGGTGTTTGGGGGCGGGGGCAAGGGAATGGAAGGCACGGGGGTTGCAGGCTGGATGAGGCTTTGTGCATGGCACACGTCACACACGCACAGAATCTAAACGCAACACATGCATGTGTCACACAAAAACACATACACACAAGTACACACAAAAACACATACACACAAGTACACACACACACACATGCACACATACACACGTCATACACATGCACACATACACACATAAACACACACACACACGTCACACACACACACACACACCTGGCGTCTCTGTAGACTTGGCGAAGCGGGACGGGGTCAAGGTGTGGCAGGGTGTCAAGATAGCGCCGTGCAAGCTCACTACCAATGCGCCGTTTCAGCTCAGCAGATGGCGATCCCAGCAGCGTGAGGATGAGCACGAGCTGGTGGATGTAGTCCTGGCCCGGGAACAGGTAGCGCCGGCCAAGCATCTCGCCCAGCACACACGCCGCCGACCACACGTCGATGGCCTGCGTGTACCGGTTGAACGACAGCATCACCTCTGGTGCGCGGTACCAGCGCGTGGCCACATATGCGGTCATGAACCCCGCGTGCTCCTCCGGGGTACTGGCCATTGCGCGGGCCATGCCAAAGTCACAGATCTTCAGGGAGCAGTCGCTGTTGATGAGCAGGTTGCCTGGCTTGATGTCGCGGTGCAGCACGCTGGCAGCGTGGATGTACTGCAGCCCGCTGAGAAGCTGGAACATGAAGTAGCGCACGTGCTCCTCGGAGAGCGGCTGCTTCGAGTGAATGATGCGATGCAGGTTTGTTTCCTGCAGCTCCATGACGACGTAGATGTCGTTGAAGCGGCTCAGGTCCGATGGCGGCTTGGCGATGGTGAGGACGGAGATGATGTTCTTGTGGGAGTGGAAGTGGCGCAGGAACCGCAGCTCGCGCAGCGTGCGCTTTGTCATCTCCGGCAGTTTGAATGCGGATGAGATCTTCTTTATGGCTACGCGGCGCTGGCTCACCGTGTCTGTTGCAGCACACACCACGCCGTACGCGCCATACCCGACAATCTTGTCTGGTCTGAACCGCTTTTCCAACCGAAAGCTGGCGTTTGGAAACGTGTGCGTCTCAAACTCATCTTCGTCGCTTGCAAACTGCTGTGACTGCTGGTGCGGCTGTTGCGGCTGCTGTGATTGTTGTTGTGATTGTTCCTGCTGTTGCTGCTGGTACAGCTGTTGTGGTTGTTGCTGTGAAAAGGGTTCCTGCCCGTTGGACCCGTGCCCATGTGCTGCCGTCGTGGCAGTGGCAGTGGTGGTGGTGCCTTTGCTGTCGCTCATTCTTGCTTGCTTGTAGGTGTTGTCGCTTTCGTTCACCAACCACCGCCCATGAGAGCGCGAGACTGACTTCAGTCCTCGACTGAAATGAAGAAAATAGGTGGAAAATTTCATCAATTCTTCAACAACCCAAACAAACGAAACAACGACGACTGCTCCAATGGCTGACGCTGAGGACGCTGGTGTGTGTGCATGTGTAGTGCTTGGTGGTCGTGCTGCTGTGCTGTGGGGTTGACTGTCATGCCGCTGCCCACGATTGTTTCGTGCCCATGCTGCTGCCGCCACACTCTCTTTGCATGCTGCCAACTCACGGTGGGGTGTTGTGTTGGTTTGATATGCAGAGCTGGACGCGCTTCTCCAGCAACTGGAGAGCTTTGACATGCGTACGTCAAACGTCGTCCGTGTGCGCGTTTTGAAACATGGGCTGTCCGGGGGTGTTGTTGTGTTCGCGTATGTGCATATATGACTGCATATGTGTGTATGTACGCCTGCGTATGTGTGTATGTACGCCTGCGTATGTGCGTATGCACATTCCTGTGTGTATGATGTAACGTGCATTCGTTTGGTGTGCTTGTTCGCACGTGCATTCTTTGTCCCTTGGTCCCATCTTTCTTGACCATGTTCGTTGTGAGGATGTGCATTCGTGCATGCCCACCCACGTTCGCAGCATGTCCTGTTCCCTCCACCCCTCCACATTCATCCTCTCATCATGCTCACCTCCAATGGTTTGATTGGTGTTTTGTTTTGTTGTTGTGTTTGTTTTTTTGTGGCGGGTTGTAGCAGACCTCAGGGTGGCCTTTTAGTGCCCACGACAAGCGTTGTCGCTTTCGTTCACCAACCACCGCCCATGAGAGCGCGAGACTGACTTCAGTCCTCGACTGAAATGAAGAAAATAGGTGGAAAATTTCATCAATTCTTCAACAACCCAAACAAACGAAACAACGACGACTGCTCCAATGGCTGACGCTGAGGACGCTGGTGTGTGTGCATGTGTAGTGCTTGGTGGTCGTGCTGCTGTGCTGTGGGGTTGACTGTCATGCCGCTGCCCACGATTGTTTCGTGCCCATGCTGCTGCCGCCACACTCTCTTTGCATGCTGCCAACTCACGGTGGGGTGTTGTGTTGGTTTGATATGCAGAGCTGGACGCGCTTCTCCAGCAACTGGAGAGCTTTGACATGCGTACGTCAAACGTCGTCCGTGTGCGCGTTTTGAAACATGGGCTGTCCGGGGGTGTTGTTGTGTTCGCGTATGTGCATATATGACTGCATATGTGTGTATGTACGCCTGCGTATGTGTGTATGTACGCCTGCGTATGTGCGTATGCACATTCCTGTGTGTATGATGTAACGTGCATTCGTTTGGTGTGCTTGTTCGCACGTGCATTCTTTGTCCCTTGGTCCCATCTTTCTTGACCATGTTCGTTGTGAGGATGTGCATTCGTGCATGCCCACCCACGTTCGCAGCATGTCCTGTTCCCTCCACCCCTCCACATTCATCCTCTCATCATGCTCACCTCCAATGGTTTGATTGGTGTTTTGTTTTGTTGTTGTGTTTGTTTTTTTGTGGCGGGTTGTAGCTGTGCCAAAGGACGCACAGCAGAGCGAGACCGACAAGGAAGGCGCATACGATAACCTTGTGAGGCGACCGGAAGAATACCAGGTCCCAAAAGTTGCTCCCCCAAAGCGGCCCGAGGACACATCGAACAGCCGCGGCGAATATGATGTGCCCAGGCGTGACCCCAGCAGCGTGTATCTGCGCCGAAAGTCTGCAGCCACCGCAGCCAGCCACACTCAACCGCTGCAGGCAGCCACCAAGAAGCAGGTCAGCACATATGCGGTGCCCGCGCCCGTCGCTGATGCACCAAGTCGCCCCGCCAACAAGAAGGCTGGCAGTGGCGACGACGACCCCACGTACGATGTGGCCTATGCACAGCCGGCCGCGAGCGACGCAGCGCAGTATGAGAAGCCGTATGCCACGCCATACGAGACAATGTACGAGCGGACATACGAGGGCGCTTATGAGCAGCCCGATGTCGACGTGTACGAGGATCCAAACGCAGACAAGACTGAGCCCCAATATGAACGCGCCGACCCCGACTACGAGACTGCTTCCTCCTCCTCATCCTCCCGCCGTCAACTCTGTACGTGTGTGCTTGCGTTCACGCTCACCGTGTATGTGCACATGTGTGCGTGTGTGTTTTGTGTGTGTGTGTGTGTGTGTTTCGTGTATTTGTGCGTGTGTTTCGTGTATTTGTGCGTGTGTTTTGTATGTATGCATGTTGCGTTTACGCTCGTCACACATGAATGTATGTGTGTGTGTGTGTGTGTGTGTGTGTTGACATTGCGTACCATCCTCAACCTTTCTCTTGTGACGCACCCTTACTGTGCTGCAATGCAATTCGGACACCCCAGATGAGCAGGTGCAGCCCCCACTCCACTCTGCCGACCGCGTCAACAACGAAGCCCTGCCAAAGGGGTTTTGTGCACAGTGTCGCCAGCGGATCCAAGGAAGGGTGTGTGAATGTGTGTGTGTGTGTGTGAATGTGTGTGTATGTGTGAATGTGTGTGTGTGTGGTGTGTGAGTATGGAAGGAATGCATGGTGCTGTCTCAAAGGTGCATGGCTATTTTTTTTTTGCAATGATGCGCACATACGCTCTCACACACTCACATCCTCCCCCCCCCCTCTTGCTTCCTCCTTGTCTGCTCCAATCTGTGTCAGGCCATCCAAGCGCTTGGGCTGCAGTTCCACGAGGAGCATTTCCAGTGCATGAAATGCGACAAGAGCCTTGCCAGTGAACCTTTCCACGCCCACCACGGCCTGCCCTTCTGCTCCACGTGTTTTCACGAGGAAACCGCGCCTCGCTGCGCCGGATGTGACAAGCCAATCACCACCGTACGTGTCGTCGTCATGTGTGTGTCTGTGTCTGTGTGTGTCTCTGTGTGTGTGTGTCTGCGTGCTTTTGTCTGCGTGCTTTTGTCTCTCTGAGTGTTTGCTTCTGTGCATGCATGCTTCTGTGCATGCTGGTTTAACGCTTCCAACACGATCACGCTTATGAGTTCTTGTCGCACTTCCCCCACTCACTTGCCGACTGTTGCCACGTGTTGCTCGTTTTTGCTTGCAGGCATGCATCCATGCATTCAGCAAGAACTGGCACGTGGAGTGTCTCAAGTGTGACGCGTGCCACAATCCGCTTGGCACCGAGTATTACAACGTTGGTGAGTGAGTCTATGTCTGTGTGTATGTGAGTATGTGTTGTGTGTGTGTGTGTGTGTGTAAGTGTGTGTGTGTGTACCTGCGTGCACAGTGTGCATGCAACAAAGAATGACGAAATTGGGACAATAATGTGCTCACCCAAGTGCTGCTGCAGAGAACCAAACCATTTGCTCCAAGTGTTATGAGGATCAGGTGAAGTACAAGTGCGCAAAGTGCAAGAAGACCATCACGGATGCCGCCATCTCTGCCCTCGACAGCTACTGGCACGAGGCCTGCTTCACTTGCTGGGTTCGTCGCTCGTGTGTGTATGTGTATGTTGTTGTTGTTGTTGTTGTTGTTGTTGTTGTTGTTGTTGATGATGATGATGATGATGATGATGATGATGATGATGATGATGATGATGTGCGTTGTACGCCTCGGTTTTCAGTTCTCACCTTTGGCCCTCTCACGCCCTTTCTTCTTCGGCACCATTCAAACACACACACACACACACACACACACACATGCACACACTCGTCTCTGCAGGAGTGCAACAAGCCTTTCCCTGAAGGCCGCTACTTTCCGCAGGACAACAAGCCCTACTGCTCGTACCACTACCATGAGATGAAGGGCGTGGTGTGCGCACGGTGCATGCGCCCCATTATCGGCAGCTTCGTGTCTGCCCTTGGCGAAAAGTGGCATCCAGAGCACTTTCAGTGCAGTCTGTGCAACAAGAGCCTGGCCAAGACGCGCTTCCGTGAGCGAAATGACCAGCCCTACTGCGACCCCTGCTACGTCAAGCTCTTTGGCATCTGAGTGTATGCGTGTGTATGCGTGTGTACATGTATGCGGTGTGTACATGTATGCGTGCGTGTACACGCGTGTGTGCACAGCTTGTGTCCTCCTCTTTCGTACTGCTGTGCTGCACTTTCTCTCCTCTCGGCCAAGCCCACCAAGCTCACCCACTTCTCTCCCTAGCTTTTGATTTGAGTTCATCTAATTGAGTGCAAACAACCACACGTGATTGAAAAAAAAAAAAAAAAGCAAGAGTTGTTGAGACCTCTCTGGGCAAACATTAGGCAAGCAGAGCACACCAAACACAGCAATCAATCAGCCAGAAGAAAGAGGCTTGCACACAAACTGTATCTTAAACACGCACCATCTCTCTTACCATGTACACACATCCACAGGTAACAACCAGCCAACAATTAACCATCCAACCCAATCCAATCCAATCCAATCCACGCAGCTCATCAGAGGGAGAAGGGGGCGGCCTGCGTGGGTGCTGCCAGGGCAAAGCCAGACTCTGTCATCTGGGGAGCAATGTCGCCCACATCCTCGTCCTCCTCCGCAAAGTAGCTCTCCACAATGTCGAGGGCAAGCTCGTAGATGGTGTCGTTTTCGTGCTGCTGCAGCATCTCAATGTGGTCCACGCCACCAGCCTCCTCAATCCAGTCTGCACTCGGATTGGACCCGTCGGCCATCTGCGACACGCGCAGCACGTTGCGGAGTGCGTCCAGCGCAATCTCAACCACCTTTACGTCCTGCACCGTGAGCAGGTCAACCAGGGGCTTGATGCACCCCTGGCTGATGAGGTACCGCACGTCCTCGTCGCAGCCGTTGTTGCTGATGTTCGTCACCGCCCAGCACGCCTCCTTGCGCGTGCGGAAGTCGCCGTGGGCAAGGCAGTACAGCAGCGAGGGCACCACGTTGCTCTCGATGAGCGCGTGCACCTGGCTGCGTGTGCCGGCACCAATGTTCGACAGCGCCCAGCACGTCTCCTTGCGGATGTTGGCCTTCTCGTGCTGAATCAGCCGTGAAAAGTGCTGCAGGCAGCCCAGGTCAATGGGTACCTGCGTCTGCTCGTTCGTGCCCGTGACAATGTTGCCCACGCAGCGGATGCAGGGCGTGAGGATGCGTATGGACGAGTGCGTGAGCAGGTTCACGACAATCGGCGCGCCGCCAGCCTCAATCAGCGCAGCAATCTTGTCGTTGTCGCCGTCGCTGAGGTAGCTGAGGCCCCACATGGCGTCCGCCTGCACGTTGACGTCCTCGTGCTGTGCGAGCTGGAGAAAGGTGGGGATGGCCTGCTTGACAATCTCAAAGTTTGGCTCGGGTTTCTTGCCGCGGCACAGGTTTGACAGCACCCACGTCGCCGTGCTCAGCATCTCAGTCTGTTGGATGTTGAAGAAGAAGGAATGAAAGAAACGAAAAGGAGGTGAGGGCAAGGGGGGGGGGTTGGGTTATGTGAGTGGTTGAAGGCGAGGAGATGACGGAGACAGGAAATAAATAACCAGCGCACAAGGCATGCGCCAAGCGTACAAACGTATGCAACAACAATACACAACACAGGAACACACACGGCCCAGCAATGACCAAAAAACAGCAGACAGCAACACAATCATGTTGGCAACAAAAACCCAACAGGACACGGCACTTGTGAGCCCTTACCGATGGGTTGCTGTAGATGGTGGCCATGAGGGGCTCCATGATGCCTGCACCAAGCAGGAGGTCGCGCGGCTCTGGGCCGTCGCCAGCAATGTTACCCAGGCACCAGATGGCCTGCTCGCGCACCTTCTCCGACTCCCTGGAGAGGAGGTTGCCGAGGTAGGGGATGGCGCCCGCAGAGACCACAGCCATGGTGTCGGCAGATGTGCCCGAGGACACGTTGGTGAGGGCCCACAGGGCCTCGTACAGGAGGTCGTCGTGTGGCACGGAGAGAAACTCGACCAGCCGCGACACGGCGCCGCTCTCAATCACAATCTTAGTGGCGGGCTTTGTAAACTTCTCCTTGGACAGGATGCGGCTGCATTGGGGGTGAAAACAGCAGGAATGTTCGCAAGGGTATTGGTGAGCATGTTGCTTTCACATTGGTGTTGTTTGCAAACAGAGAAGAGTCGCAAGGAGATGCAGGACACACACGCGCGCGGGCGCAGACAAACGTTCATACGCAGAGACAGACGAACATACACACATGTTCATACATGCACACACATTCAAACACTCTCTTTCATACACACACTCACTCGTGCACACACAAACATACACACACACACTCACTGACACACACAAGATTACGCACCGGCAGAGCTGTGTGGCCTTGAAGGCCTCGTCAAAGTCGTCGGCCTTGAGAATGACCTTGAGGGCCTCACGGAGGTTTTCCAAGGACAGCTGTGGCTTCTTGTTGGCGTTGTCCACGGGGACGAGGGCCTTGTCGTTGGTGCCGTTGGTAGCGGTGGTTGTGTTCTCGTCGTTGTTCTCCTGGTCGGCCATAACGACGTTGCGACGCTTTTGTGTCTGCTCGAAGCGCTTCTGCTTGCGGAGCTCAAAGGCGTTCTCCCGGCGGCGGTTGCGCACGGTGGAGGTCTTGCCCTTGTTCTTGAAATCCTGAAGGCGATCCATGGTACTGGTTACTGTGGTCACAAGAGAGCTTGCTTGGCGAGGTTGTTTGCTGTGCTTTCTTTGGCTGGGGATAAGCAGCGGAGAGTGGAGTCGAGAAAATGACCACGCTGGTCAACTCACGGCGGGGTTCTCTCAAGGTTGTTTGTGTGTGCGTGTGCGAACTGCAACGTGTGCGTGGCGCGCTGCGCGGAAATAGCAGATGCAAGTGCGCTGCTGTGGGCAGTGAGTGGCGGCGCGCCATGGCACCACAACAAACCATCGTTGCCCACACAAAGGCAGCACAGCAGCGAGGCAAGTGAGGCAAGCTGCTCGAATCATCACCAAAACAAACTTGGCGGCACAACAAACGAGGCCATGGGAGAGAATTCGTGCAAGATGTGCTAGCATTGTGACTGCTGAATATTCGCAATATCTTCAGTGTCCGCTTTTTGCCGCGAAAATTCAAAATAACGAGAGCCCAGAGCGACAACGACGACGGATATCAACTCAACTCTCAACACGACACAAGCAGCGACACCTAGCTCCTAGCCGGTTGGTGTGAGGGAAAGGCAGACAAGGCGAACAAAGCAAGGGCACGCGCGAGCCTGTGACAGTCTCTGTGCGTGTGTGTGTGTGTGTGCGTGTGTGTGTGTGTGCGTGAGAGAGTGCAAGCGCAGCAGAGGCAAGTGACTTCCACTTGCTGCTTTTGTGATCAAGCAGAAAGACGGAGACAGAAGAGGAAAGGAAGGCAAAGGAAAGGAGGAAGGAGAAGTGAAGGAGAAGTGAAGGAGAAGTGAAGGAGAAGTGAAGGAGAAGTGAAGGAGAAGGAAGAAGCCGACATGTCATCTTCGTCGCTGAGATCCGGGTCGTTGTTTGGGCCTGGAAGGCGCCCTCGTGCTGCATCAACCACCACAACACCATTGCGGGTCTTCGATGAGACCCTCACGCCAAAGACGAAACAGATGATCAAGGTATGTGGAGAGGATGGAGGAGGGATGATCGATGTGCACGGTTTGGTTTCAGGTGTGCATTGGGATCTCAACCTGCGCGCATAAGTGCATGCGCGAACGAGGACGCTTGTATGTGTACATGTTCATCCACATGCGCGAACGAGGACACTTGTATGTGTACATGTTCATCCACATGCGCAAACATGCGCACACTGCGACACGGATACGAACACACGCACAACACGCACACGCGCACACATTGCGACATAAACACACACATACACACGCTGCACTCATTCACTCACTGCTCACGCAACACACACACACACAAAACACATGTCACACACATGTCACACGCACACGCGCGTCTATCCAGATGGGCGTCACGCCGTTGCGCGGAGCGAAAAAACACAACGTCAAGCAGGAGCTGCGAACGCTGTCAAACGTGAGCAATACGCCCCTGCAAAACAGGCGAAAGCGCCCAAAGCTGCAACTGCAGTCCACCGCAGCACCAGCATTTGATGCAGTCGAGGCCACACCATCACGCAAGCGCGGCAACTCCACTCGCCAGGTGGACCGGCTCAAGCGGGCACTGCAGGATGCAGAGGCAGAGAACGAGCAGCTCAAGCAGCAAATTGAGACCTTGCGAGGCGCAGCAGCACCACACGCACAGCAACAACAGGCACAGCAGCAGCAGGCACAGCTCACCAACGGCACAGGTGGTGCAAGTGCTGATGATGATGCTGACCATGCCAGCACCGTGTCGACCCCAGCAAGCAAAGCGGTGCCTGTTGCCGCAGGCTCGGCATCCAAGCAGAGTTCTCCCGAGGCACTGGAGATGCTCCACTGCCGTGCCATTGGCATGATCCAGCACTGCCTGTCGCGTGCAGAGCAGCATCTTGAGGAATTGAATGACAGCACCACAACAACGGCAGCATCCACGCCTGCGCAGTCCAACAGCGCTCACGCCACGTCATTCACCACCTCCACAACCAACGGCGCCACCACCTCTGAACCGCGCCTGTTGCAGTCGCGTGTGCAGGAAGCGCTCACTCAGCTGGGCACAGCGGCAGCACCACCATCCGCCCTCCCCGACACAGTCACACCAGGCCCGTACCGCAAGCAGCGGCGTGCTGTCGCACTCCCACCACACATGCGCCACACAGCCGCCATCAACACCGCCGGCAGCAACACCAATGGCAACAGCAGTGTGGAGGGAGGGCAGTCCCCATCAAGCGCCAGCAGCGAACAGGAGCATGCGGGTGCAGTGCAGACGGGGTTTACGCCGCGCGTGACACACGTGCGCCAGATTTTAGCCAGCCTCGTGGCCCCACTTCGCATCTTCTCTCCAGGCAAGGACTCCTCCGAGGAGGCGAGGGTGAGCAATGCCCACACCAGCGATGGCGAACGCGACAGTGCTGCGCCTGCAAGCAAGCTGCAGCCACCGCGCGCGCTGCCCACCATCATCATTGAGGATGTGGATGCAACACCGCGGCGTGGAAAGGTGTTCCAAGCCGAGATGGGCACATCGCCCATGACACCTGTCGCTGCAGCCACCATGTCAAGCACAGCAACAATGACATCCACGCCGGCCAAGAAGCAGATGTCCACCACATCCACGGCAATGTCTCCCGTTGTGAGTGAGGCCATGGGCGCGCAGACCGTGCACGTGTCTGTGCAAGATGCAGAGACCCAGGCGAGTCGGGTGGCAACACCAGCCCGCCCTGTGCTTGCAAGCACGGCCACGTCACCGCTTGCCATCCAACAAGCTGACATGGGCACGATGACGTCGCCCGTGGCGGATGCAGACGGACAAGTGCAAGCCTGCAAGGACCTGCCACGCGAGCAGCTGCTGTCGCAAGTGGAGGTGATGGCCATCTCCAACGAGGTGCTGCGAGACGAGAACAGGCGACTTGGGCAGCAAGGCAGCGAGCTCAGGTCAACCCTGCAAACGGTACAGCAGGAGCTGGGCGCGCTGAAGGAACACCTGCTCACCAGCAAGGAGGAGAGCGACGCGCTTGTTTCGCAGCTACAGCTTCGCATTGGTGAGCTGTCACAGGAGAAGGATGACCTGGAACAGCGATTGGCCTCATTTGCGGACACGGAGGCGGTGATTGAGTCGCTGACAAGCGAGAGAGACACAGCCACAGCAGGGCTGGATGCAGCAACGCAAGAGCTGGAGTCGCTCAAGGCCGAGCTTGCGTCCTTGCAGGAGGCCATGCACACAGAGCAGCGTGAGCACAGCGACACGCAGGCCCAAATGGCACAACAAGTACAGGTGAGCGTGAGCGTGTGTGTGAGAGCGTGTGTGTCTGTGTGTGAGTGAAAAAGTGTGTGAGTATGTGCGTGAGCGTATGTGTGTGTGAGTGTGTGTGTGAGTGTGAGAGAGAGAGAGTGTGTGTGTGTGTGTCTGTGTGGCTGCCGCTGTGGGTCGGTGTCCGGGTGTTTTCCATGCACGTGGTTGGATGTGATTTCGGGGCCTCAGTGCACGCAATTAATCACCCAAATCTCAACCCTTCCCCCCTCTTCCTGGATGCCATGACTTTCACAGGAGTGGGAGTTCAAGTTCACAGAGCTGACAGCTGAGAAGGAAGATTTGATGCAGTCCTTTGAGGCCTTGAAGGCGGAGACAGCCGACACACAGGTAATGAGGGAGTGAGGAAGTGGCACAGCGACCGATAATGTCCCGGTTGAAGATTGCGCTGGTGCTGAACCTGGGGTCGTTGCTTGCACTCTGTGTGTGTGTGTGTGTCTGTGTGTGTCTGTGTGTGTCTGTGTGTGTGTGTGTGTATCTGTGTGTGTGTGTCTGTGTGTGTGTGTCTGTGTGTGTCTGTGTGTGTGATTGCCTGCACTTGAGAGCACACTCACACGTTCGCGCACGATTCTTTCTCTCAACTGTTTTGGTGTTCTTGCCATTCTCTTGACGACTTTGTCGTGTTGTCTCCTTCTCGCTTCAGGCATCCCTTGAAGCGAAGATCGCGCAGCACCAGGCGAGCTACACGCAGCTGCAGGGCGACATGAGCACCATGTACCGCCAGCACAAGGCGGAGGTCACCGCGCTTGAGCACAAACTGCAGTCCAACGCGTACGAGACGCGCCTTGCCGAGCTAGTGGAGGAGAACCAGCTCCTCACCACCCGCGTCAGTGCCATGGCCACGGCGGAGGCAGCGGTCAAGGCGACAGCTGCCAAGAGTGCGGCCGCCGTCACAGCACTCCAGCGCATCACCGCGGTACTTGAGGAGCGGGCACAGCAGCTTGAGGCCGAGTTGAGTGCGGCGCAGCAGGCGCGAGAGAGCGCGCATGCGGAGGTGGAGTTTGCGCGCGCTGAGCTGCAGCGGATGCGGGAGGACCACGCCGTACAGGAAAGGACAGCTGAGGACGCGCGCGAGGCACTGGATGAGATGTCCTTCAAGTGCGACGAACTGCAGGTGGAGCTGGAGGAGGCGACTGCCAACGCCGAGTCTGCACAGCAAGAGCGAGACGCAGCAGTTGCTGAGTTGCAGCAAACGCGTGAGATGCACACGACTGCACAGGATGCCCTCAACCAAGCGACAACACAAGTCGACGCTCTCACAGAGGTACGTGCGTGCGTGTTGCATGGACGTGTGTGTATGTGTGTGTGTGCGTCTCCGTGGGTTGGTGTAGATTTGCGAGCGTGTTTTTTCTTGGGATTATTA